GTTTTATTCAACAGATTCACCAGTAGTTCACACAGATCCACTTCTCGCATTTTCGTGGGGTAATCATTTAATAATTATTAAGGTCAGCGTGTTATCACCTACAGCCCCCGAGATCCCCTTAAAAAAACGTCGACAAAAGCGTGAAGTTCGTTTGGAATTTATCCCAGTGGGAGAGTGGAAGTCCAGAAATAGCATAGTGGGGCTTCAGTGGCTCTCGTCTCAGGTGCTGACATTGATAAAATTTCGCAAATATTTCATCATAAGGTTTTACTTTTGACTAGATGATGTTCATTTTTTAGATTTTGTTGATTTTGACAAACACAGAAGATATAATTGTATTTGACCCAAGATATATGCAAGAAAGTGAACAAAATAACATTCGACAACGTTCACTAGTTTACCATGATCGATTTTCATCGCTTTTAAAAGAAGGAGTCGAGGATTCTAATGGGCAAAGTGAAAATATTCGATCTTTGTCATCAAATACAGATTTAGCATACTACCATAGTATGCGCGTATATAAGGGCAATGTTTTTTTATTGGTATTCATCATTACACACTGCCATAAACAAAATTTAATTTAATATTTAATGTTTATTGATTTTTATTTTTACTTTATTTCGTGGTTTTAATTAGGGAGTACGTCAACTTTTTGTCGGCAACCTTTTATTATGGAAAGACAGAATACTTGCACTTGTCGAAGCCGGGGATTTTCTTGAAGGTATCGCTCTTGCCACATCTTTTTATAATGGTACATCATCTCAAACAATCCTTGGTTTACCCGATGAGGAAGAGACTCGCCACACAATTGTTGGCGAGAAGCTCATGGAGCTTTTAACCGCTTCCATAAATTATGCATTTTCTAGTGCGCGGACATTTCAGGGTATGGTAGATGAACAGAATGGCAGTGGTGTGGTCTTATTTCGCGATCTAGCTAGCGCTTGTATAGAAGCGTGTCTTAGTATGCACAGGGAGGATTTTCTTTTTACAGAGGTTTATGAAAGATACGCGGAAGCCTCTGCTAAGGGAATTCTTCTTGAAGTTTTAGAGCCATATATCCTTGAGGATAAAATAAAGGACCTACCGCCAGAAGTGATGAAGGATCTTGTAAATCATTACCGTGACCGTCACATGCTTAAACGCGTGGAACAATGTATATGGCATATTAATCCGCAATGCTTGGACATTGATCAAGTGGTTCAATTGTGTCAAAACGAAGGACTATATGACGCTCTAATTTATGTATGGAATCGTTCCATGGTAGATTACGTTAGTCCTGCAGTGGAACTTCTTCGAATAATAAGACAAATATTAATATCAGAAAAGCGAAAAAAAAAGAAGCACCGATTTTCTATACCAAACGGTTCCAATAGTTATGCACCTGACCCTTACGTGCTCGAAGGGGAGGAATTGGAAAAAAGAAAAAATGATGCACGTAAATTCTACACATATTTGAGTAATATCCTCACCGGTCATACTTATCCCAATGAAGCACCTTTGAACGAATCTGAGGCCAATGAAGCGAGAACTACTCTTTATTCTTTCGTGTTTTCTGGCCGATGCGTTGTGTGGCCGAGAAATGGAGGAGAATTAATACTGACGGCTGAAGATGAACTGAATGGTCCAGAGCCTACCTATCCTTATCTTAGATTGTTCTTAAAGTTTGACACCAAGGCTTTTCTACAAGCTTTAGAGGCCGCTTTTGAAGATTCATATCTTAATGGCGTTGAAATAATCACTAATGGTGATGATTATTATGAAGAGGAGGAAACCCATGGGAAAATTATCAATCGGCAGTTATTGGTTAATATACTGCTTGAGGTGATGACTTCCGGATCACCAGAATCCTCAGAATTTACTCAGTCAGACATATCATACTTGTATTGTTTTGTCGCACAGAGTCTGCCAAAATACACGCAGTTCCTCTTACTTCCACCGTCCGCCATACATAAGATCCTTGTTAAACTTAGTACCGACAACGATCCACGTACGCGAGAAGAACGACAACTTTCGGTGGAATGCCTATTATCCATATATACACCACAAGATGAGAACAAAATGGTACAATTGTATGAGTCCGCCGGATTCTGGAGAGTATTGGAGCATGTTTATACTGCCGAAAAAAAGTATGGATTGTTAGTGACGACATACCTGAAGGATCCAAAAAGAAGAAACGACGTTTTTGATTGTATAAGAGGTTTATTAAGTCCTCATAGCAAGCTCACCGAAAAACAGCGAATGGAAGTTTCCGAGACGGTCATGACTCGAATTGAAGAAATTGTTGATGTCGATGGAGAACAAACCGCCTCAATAATAAAAACTTTTTTTGACGGAGACCATCAGACTGTCATCGATAATCTATCTTCATCTCCTGCACGATTATTCACATATTTAAGAGGCCTTTTAGAACCATCCCAAGATGATGTCAGGGGTGGAGAGCTTATTATGAGGGTGCAGACTGTCGAAGAACAAATCAGCATGGCCGAGTCAAGATTGGAATCATTTCCGGAAATTCACGAACGATACATTGATCTCATGTGTAAATTTGATCCTACTGGCGTATATCATTATTTACAAACGCATAGAGGCTCTTATCGACTTGATTACGTATTACCCATTTGCGAATCATCGGGTATTGTAGATGCAGTTGTATGGCTTTTGGAAAAAAGTGGTAATTCTATGGGTGCCCTTGATAAAATATTGGACATTGTCCAAGAAAAAAGGCAGGATATTCTTGTATTGGTTGAAGAAAAAAAGAATTCTAAGAATGATCGATGGACATTAATTGAAAAAACCAAAATTGAGACATCCTTAATGAAATTGAAGGGTGTACTCAAAATTGGAATTCTTTTATGTGAAAATAGCTGCCAACGAGCAACATTGGCTAACAGTTCTGCAGTTGTTGCTTTATCTGAAACTAACCACACCATTGAAAGCGAAACTGAATTGTTATGGTTCAAGCTCTTGGACACGTTTTTGGATGCCACCAAGGCCATATCTTCCAGTGTCATCCCTCCAATTCCTTCAATGATGTCGGAAAAACTTCTGGCGAACGGACAACTATCCTCATTCGAAATGCCTAGATCTGCGATACCTCCACACATTGCCAATCATCTGATTACAACCTTCAAATCATACGTTCAGTCTATAATGAGGTCTTTATTGTTATCTACTTCTTCTCCTTACGTTTCTTTGCCAAGACTTTTGCTTCGATTTATACAATCACAAGCCAAAAGAAACAGTACCGTCTCAGACTTTCGGGACATTTTTGTGGGCATGATTGATACGTACAAATATGAAGGTCAGTTGCTAGCTATGACCAACCGACTATTTGAAAAGGACTTGTTCATGGGTGTAGCAGGTGTAGTACGACAGCGTGGTAAAGGCTGGCGTCCTCGCAGGGGGACGTGTGAAGTGTGTGGGGGTCAGTTCTGGGGCACGGATCTGAGCCCACTGACCCTCCGCACAACACCTGGTAGAGGTTCATCCGAAAAGAAAACGCCCCATTCATCCACTATACCTGCCAATATTGCAGATGCCATGACGAACCTGGAACTACTAGAGCATCCTGATTACCCGCCGCCTATCCTATCGGACGAAGCATCAACCTCACAAGAACCACTCCCTCCATTACCAACCACTCCCCAACCACTGTCACCATCGGTTCAAGAAAATGACCTGCTACTATTTCGTTGCGGCCACGGATACCATCGTAGGTGCCTCGAAACCGAAGCAAATGTCAGCACCGAAAACGAGACCGATCCAAAATGTACTGTGTGCCAAACTGAAAGGCGAACAGAAAATGTGGTTCCATTCGAAAATGGGCGTGGTTTGGTAGATCAAATATCAGGAAAAGATAAAGGCAAAGAC